CTTCTTTTCCAGCCCCTCCCTTCTTTTACAGCCCCTCCCCTTCTTTTACAGCCCCTCCCCTTCTTTTACAGCCCCTCCCTTCTTTTACAGCCCCTCCCCTTCTTTTACAGCCCCGCCCTTCTTTTACAGCCCCTCCCTTCTTTTCCAGCCCCTCCCCTTCTTTTCCAGCCCCGCCCTTCTTTCCCAGGCTGTGGCTGGCAGACCCCTCTCTTTGCCTGCAGTGATGATTTTCCAGAGGGGAAGGAGGCAAATTGTGCAACAGTGAGTCGAGGTCCAAACTAGGCTCGGCAGCTGCATCTCGAGTTGCGGTCCAGCTCTGTGTCCTAGTGACATGCTAGCCACCAGCAATGACTCACTTAGAAAAGGAAGCCCTGTGCCACAGCCCCGGGTGGTCAGTCGGCCCAAGGAACTTTGCAGGGGAACTTATTTTGAGGCAATTAGGAACAGAATTACGATTATTTTCTCAAAGCAGTTTTATTTTAACCTGTTCTACAAAATCTGAAAATGCCGACTATTCTAGATCCAGAAGGGATCTTCAGCATCATCTAGTTCAAACCGTCACGTCATGAACTCCAGTTCCTCTGGCACTAGCCAAGCCCCTTCACTTTCTCCTCCTCCCGCATGCTTTCCGGGGAACCCTGGCGGACCTCTCTGACTCGAACCAGCTGCCTGCTTGGTCTCCCCAGGCTGCCTGTGTTTAGAGACCTGTTTGCTCTGAACCTCTCGAGCAGGCAATCTTGCACATCACTGAGCTGAGTAAATCAGCATCAGCTTCTCCCAGACAGCACCCTGCTTTGATAGCTGGCCTCTAGGAGTAATCGTGATGGGTGATGATAATAATAGTTATGATGTTGTGTGGTGTTGCTTCAGATTTTGTAATAATACTAGTCCCTGCAACCTGTCTTCATAAACTTCAAGTTTTTGCTGTTTCACAATTTGTCTGGATGCCTCCATCTGGCCTAAGAAGACACTATTCTGAAAACAGAAACAAAGGCAGCTACTGATGCACATGAGATACACTCTTCTGCGCGGGGCACCTGCGGGATATACGTCCCACATCAGCATTGTCAAAAAGCTATCCAATACCTCAAAGCAAAAACTGAGTTAATGGGATCATGTACAACGAGTTAAAAATATGAGACCAAGCAATCTCTTAGACTCCACATCAGCTTTTTTCAAATACTCCATTTCTCCAGTCCATGCCACAGCTGATCAGCTCGGAGAAGATGTGTCTTTCTTCTCGCATGAAAAACTCACATAACAGTGGTGGTTTTTCCAACTGATAACAGTGGCAGAGACCAGCACCGTGTCCCACCTCCCTACAAAGGAAGCTGACCAATTAAAACTTGCACCTACACACCTCAATCTGCCCCAAGGCAGGGAGGCACTTTCCTGTGTCACAAAGTAAAGGTCATGCCAAGGGTCACCTCTCGCAGGGTCACCCAGATCACAGGGATGCCTCGGGGTGCTCACTCTCCAGCCACTCGCAACTCCACTGGGTACTGGGAGAGCTCTGCGCACAGGGAGAATCCACGGGGAACGCACCTCAGCGACCTCACCACCAGGGGAAGGCCACACGTCGAACGAGCCATCTGATTGCCCATGGTTCTTTTTATCTTTGAACCACACCGATATTGTGCAACTCTTAATCCTTCTGCTCCTAAGACTTCTCCTGCACAAAGTACTCATGGGATCTGAGTTACTGGGACACCCCGGTTTGCCTAAGGTCATCTCAGCACAAAAGTGACAGCCTGCTCTTGACCTGGACTCTGTAATGTCACTAGGAGCATGTGGATTTAGGGATGAGGGTTCCTCCCCAGGGGGCCCCCAGACAGCATGGCCTCATGTTCAAGGGCCATCCTCAACATCCGATTTCCCTGACAGTATCATAAAATCTGATCTCCCCAAACTGACAAGTCTTTCAAGAGCCCATGAAATTGATTAGAGCACTGGATCACTGGGCGAAAGTCACACTTCATTCCTGCACCTCATCCTGCTGAAAGGTGAGCTGAAGAACACGGGCAGAATCGCAGACAGAGGTGAGGAGACCCGAGTGCAGGGCAGCGTCGCATGCGCCGAGCAGAAACAACGTCCCGGCTCTCTGGGTGGACACCGCCTTTTATTGGTTCAGACCCAAAGGCAACCGCAGACGACTACATGAAGGTCTCTCATAACCTGCCTCACCAGGGGAACTGCTGAGCTATTGTTTCCTCATCTATAAAATGAGAATAACAATAAAGTGCAGCTTAGGGAATAGAGTCAATAACATTGTAATAACTGTTTGCTGCCAGGTGGGTCCTGGAAATATCAAGGGATCACTTTGTAAAGTTCATAATTGTCTAACCGCGATGCTGTACAACTGAAACGAATACAAAGTAATATTGAATATAAACTGGAATTGGAAAAAATTTAAAAATTATGAAAGCTTAAAAAATAAAGTGAAAATAACAAAAAATGCCTGCCTGCACACTGGGCTGCTCTGCACGCCGGGGGCTCCCGTGGGAAAACACTCCTTCTGTTCCCTGCACCCTCCGCACAGGTACCGGCCACACCTGCAGGACGCCTCCCAGGGATGCAGCTCAACACCGCGGCTTTGAGAAACGCTGTGCGAGCTCCAAGCCAAGCAGGCCCTGAGGTCTCCCTCAGAGAGCTTGTGGGAGAGACTGGGGGGCGGGACTACAAAACTCTGGGCTATTAAAAGCATCAGGAAAGTTAAGTGGGGCACATCTGGATGGTGGGGCCAAAAAAGGGGGCTCTTCAAGCCTCATAGGTAAGTATTTGCATTTGTAAATACAAAAATAAATTTACATGTATATTTCATCTTATACATTATATATAATGTATAGCATAGTATAATGCATATATATTATCACATATATCATTTGTGGTGTGCATATTGCATAGATGTGTGTGCGTGTGTGTGCAGAATGACTTCCACAGGACCACAAGGGAAGTGGGGGTAGGAAAGATCCCCAGAGGCCAAGGCAATAGCACAAGTTCACAAGCATGCAGGAGGGCAGGACAAGCCAAGTTCAGTGGTTCATTTCCTTTGGCTGAAATTTGGCAACACCCCAATCTCTTCCTGTTCTCCAAAGGCAGGAGCCATGGAATTAGATTTCTGCAAGGAAGTCTTAGTGCTGGCAGGGGAATGGGAAGAAGTCCTAAGCAACTCCCCGGAACAGCATCTGTGGCTCGCTTTTATGGGCCAGGGAGGCTGTGATACATGGGGAGGAGGAAGCAGTTATCCATCAGTCTACAACACATTGGGACAAGCAGTGGGAAGGCCTTCAGGACACTGAAGTCCCCATAATAAAAATGACAAGCAGTGCCCTGGCCAGTTTGGCTCAGAGGTTAGAGCATCGACCTGCGGTCCAGAGAGACATGGGTTCGGTTCCTACCTCCGTCGCAGTTTGTCCCCGGCCCTGGTTGGGTTATGTGGGAGGTAGCCACTCGATGTGTCCCTTTCACGTCGATGTTTCTCTCTCTCTCTCTCTCTCTCTCTCTCTCTCTCTCTCTCTCTCCCCCCCCCCCCCCTCCCTCCCTCCCTCTCTTTCCCTCCTACTCTATCTGAACAAAAAATAGAATAATGTTCTCGGGTGAGGATTAAGAAAAAAAAGACAAGCAGTAAGCATAGCACAGTGCTAGCTATTATCCAGGCACTGTTATAACATGTTTATATATATATGAACTCGGTTCATCCACATTGCAGCCCTATAAGGTGGGTAGTAGTATCATCATCTCATATCCCAAATAGTAAGTGGCTCCAAGCTGATAAATAGTTGAAAGAGGATTCAAGCCTAGAGAGTCAGAGGGCAGAGTCCACGTTCCCAACCAGGACAGGTGGTGGGTCTGCTAAGTATTTCGGTCAGCATACTAACCAGCAGAACACTCCCCCTCTCCAGGCTCTGCAGCCACGCCCCTGCAGTCCTGACCCCCCACCCACCCCCCACCCCCACCCCACCTCGAGCACTTGGGCGTGGCTCACCTTCTGTCTACCACGTGTCAGTGTGGGTCTGTCTTTCCCCAAAATTAGATTATGATCTCCTGAATGGGAGGAGGTGGAAATGTATCTTGTAGCAGGCCCAGCACTCAGAACATAGGGGCAATTCTCACTCCATATTATGTGGACAAGAAACAAGGCTTCACATTAATGACCAGGAGTGTAAGTGTCAGTTTTGTCTCTTATTCATTGGGATTTGGGCAAAGTATTAATCTTCTTAAACTTCCTTTCCTCCATTTGTAAAATGGAGATGGTAATAGAAGCATTCATAGAGTAAAGCTTAGCACCGTGCCTGGCACACAGTGAGCCCCCAATAAATGTCAGCGCTCACTAATCGTCATGCATCCTTCCCGATGAAAGCGCTGTCATTGCTGGGTCTCCTCCTCCTATTTTTTTTTCAGTCCTCACCCGAGGATATTTTTCTATTTATCATCAGGTAGAGTGAGAGGGAGGGAGAGAGAAAGGGAGAGAGAGAAACATTGATGTGAGAGGGACACATTGACTGCCTCCCTCATGACCCGACCAGGGCCAGGGATGAACCACAACTAAGGTACATGCCCTTGACCAGAATCAAACCCATGACTCTGGTCCACAGGCCAATGCTCTAACCGCTGAGCCAAACCGGCCAGGTTGGGTCTCCTCCTCTTAATGGCTAGCCCCTCCCTGGGCAAGGAGACTGTTCGCCTCTCTCCAGAAGACTGTCCTCAGCAAAGTTGGCATCAGAATGTCTACCCAACTCAGCTCCACTAGAGCTCAAAGGCTTTGGAAATGGGAAGGTGTACATAATGCAATGGAGAGGGATACTAGCACTCAGTGGGCTGGGTGGCCAGGATGTAAAATATCTCGCATGCTCAGGACTGCCCCACACAATGAAGACTTTTCCTGCTCAAAATACTGATAGTGATTCCACTGAAAAAATATACGAGGGATTGCAGACAAAACTGAACCCATAAAGAGGTCAAGGTGAGCAGTTCAAAATCAGTTAGGAAATCGCCAGTACCTCCTTATGGTTTCGGGTGGTCCTGCAGGGAGAGGAATCTGGCTGGCTAAGGCCAGGGTGTCCTGCGCGGCCTCGCGGACCTCCTGCAGCTCGCCCAGGGACAGCCTGCCCATCAGGGGGCTCAGGTCACAGCCCTGCCACAGGAGGAGCTGCTGGTGCGCAGCTATCTCCCTTCTCAGCTGTTGATCCTTGGCCGCCAGCACAGACATCCTGGCTTGGAGGGCTTCGATTTCTTTCTGCAGAGAAAGGAGAGACCAGATTTCATAAATTAGTCTTGCTCGTGGCAGACGGCTCAGCTGAGCACGAGACCTTTAAATGCGAGTCGGGCCCTGGCCAGTTTGGCTCAGTGGTTAGAGCGTTGGCTTGCAGTCCGGAGAGACCCAGGTTCGGTTCCCGCTAAGGGCATGTACCTCGGTTGCAGTTTGTCCCCGGCCCTGGTTGGTCGTGCGGGTGGCAGCCACTCGATGTGTCCCTTTCACGTCGATGTTTCTCTCTCTCTCTCTCTCTCCCTCCCACTCTATCTGTACAAAAAATGGAAAAATGTCCTCGGGCGAGGATAATAAATAAATAAATAAATAAATAAATAAATAAATAAATAAATAAAAATAAAGGCGAGTCGGCCACCTGCGCGGGAGCTGGGGGGTCCCCTCCTGAAGCAGGCAGACTTGGGGGGGTTACTGAACTGGAAAAAGCATGCCAGCTTTATATTTCTGATTCATTGGCATGAAGAAAAGCATTCCCTCCCGAGCATTAAATAACCATGGAGGGTGAGCAACAATTTGACTTGGAAGAACCCAGCAAATCTATGATTTGCTTCAAGGGGAAGAGCCAGAACATAGGGCCGTGAACACTGTGTACTTGAAATACAAACTAAGCAGGTGCTCAAGTCACAAATCAAAAAAGAGAAGCAAACAACCTTGGTTGGTCTGTCCCCAACATGAAAATGCAGTGTGTAGAGAAAGAGGGAAAAACATGACTTCTTGAATCTACAGGATGGAAAGAGGGAGACGCTGCAGATAGTATTACACCATCTAAGGTTCATAAAAATATTAAATGCATTTAATTTCCACTAATATAGCGAACTAAAATGCAAAGCCTTCATAGAGTGCTATCCAATCTTGAGGTCAATGACTAAAATGAGCAGCAGGTAACTGAACTCACTGTGAGCCCAGTATGACCGCAGGTGACCATCTCCCTGCCCATGGGGTCTGAACTCCAAATAAGACCCATTTAATTCACATCCTCCCATGTTCCGTGCACTGATTACCAGCTGATAACAGCACAGCTCTAATCCTGGGCGGGGGGGTCTCCCCATCTCCCACCCATGTTCTCTCAACCCCAAGGTCAGATCACCTACACCTTCTACCTCCTGACCCTACTTCCCACGGTGGAGTGGGGAGACTGAGGAACTACGGAGGATCCACCACGGAGACGCACTAGGAAGAAAGTGACAGTACTATTGACGCCTCCCAGCGAACCTCCACTTCCACCTTTGACTACCTGTACCCTATTCTTTTCTTTCCCTTTTTCCATTTTATAAACTGTGGTGAAATACATGTAACATAAAATTTACCATCTTAACCATTTCTAAGTGTCCAGTTCAATACAATTCACATTGGTGCATAACCATCACCACCATCCACCCACAGGACTCTTTTTATCTTGCAAAACTGAAACTCTGTGCCCATTAACCACTAACTCCCCATTACCCCTCCTCCAACCCCTGGGAAGCACCATTCTACTTTTTCTCCACGAATCTGACCCCCTAGGGACCTCATATAATGGAATTATTAGACAGTACTGGTCTGTTTCTGACTGGCCTGCTTCACTTAGCAAAATGTCCTCAAGGTGCATCCATGTAGCATGCGTCAGAATGTCCTTCCCCCTAAGGCTGAGCAACCGTCCATTGCCATCGTCTATTATCCGTGTATCTGTCCATGGACACGTGGGTTGCTTCTGCCTTTGACTATCGTGAGCACTGCGGCTATGAACATGCCTCGTGGAGCCCCCGTTTGAATTCTTTGGGGTGTATACCGAGCTGCTGGCTCACATGGTGATTCTATTTTCCCTTTTTTGCAGAACCACAGACTGTTTTCATCAGTGCCCAACTCCCTATTCTTAACTCAGAAGTCAAAGTGGTTCCCCGTCCCATCAGAGAAAAGCCCAAGCCCCTACAAAGGCCCACAAGACCCGAGGAGGCCTCTTTATCTCTGAGCCCTCTATTCTCCCCACCTGGCCTCCTAGCTGCCATGACACGCCCGAGGCTCATGCCCACCGCAGCTTCCACGCGGGGTTCCCCTGCCGGGTACATGCTCACTGGGATTTCCGCAAGGCCTGTGCCTCTCCTCCTTCCCGCCTTGGCTGCAATCTTCTTTCTCAAAGAGCAGACCCCAGCCCTCCCCCACCCCATCACCTGGTCTGCACATTGTGGCTCCTGCTTCCTACAAAATGCTAGGTGTAAAAGTAGGCATTTATATGTTTGCATCTGGCACACAGTAGGCACACATCTGGCACACACTGAATGAATGCCTGCTGAGCAGTGCTGATCCACCTTCCCCCCGAGTTCTGCTGAGAACGCTCTCTTCAAACACTGAGTACCCTGGGCTAAAATTCCTTCTGGATACTCTGACAGCATCTGGAATTGTGCTGACCTGTCGCTGGCGAATAAACCAAACACCCAGATCCACACTGCCAGCTGCCCCAGCGTTGCAGTGATGCTCCCTGAGTGTGGAAGTGCTCAGGCTGTTGGGAATATTTCCTCATTGCGATGACTTCTGCTTCCTTTGCCCCCTTGCTATTGTAGGCACCTGGACGGGCAAACTCAGACCACAGGAATCCTCTGTGGTCCAGTAACTCAAACTCCCGTGAACTTGTGTAAGGTCATTCCGCTGCTTAGAGCCTAAGCCGGGGTTTGGAGCTCTTGCCAGAAGTCAGGTCGCCTCCAATCCACGTTTCCTCCCTGCTCCCTATTTCGGCCTCAAGGTCTCCGGGCTCCAGCAGGTGGAGACTCAGCTTCAAGCATCCTTGCCTCTGGGGGCACCTACCAACTTCCGGAGCTCCTGACTGCCCCCCACTTTAGCTCAGTACTATGGCTAGATCTCCAGCCCGTGGGTGATCCATCCATTGTTCGGGGCCACCCAGAGCTCCCGAGTGACACCAGCCGGTCATTCCCAGACGCACCTGCCTTGCCTGGTTCATACTTACAACTCCACCTCCTAACAACTGCTCCTCACAGTCCAACTCGACAGGAATTTCATAAATGATTTTGTTCTGCCTGGAAAAGAACCTTCTAAAGGTCAAAATGATAAGAGGTGACAAATTGGCCTGGCAGGCAGGGAAGCACATGCAAAGGTAATGAGGGGTATGAAGCGGGCACAAGGCTGCTGAGCGGCAACCCCTCGTTAGGACGGCGACTCCGACAAGCCCGGCTGTCACCTCCAGCGTGTCTCCTCCTCGTGCTCACGGCGGACAGCCACCGCCGATCACTCCTCACCCGAAGAACCACTTCGCTACATTTGGCCTAAATGGAGGAGAAAAAGGCTTCCTATTTCTCGAATAGTCTTCCCCTGCTTACCTGCAATTGCTGCTTTTCTTGCAGAAGCCAGTCTTGCCTGCCAAGGGACACGCGCAGGTGGTCCTGAGCAGTGGACTCCGTTCCGGGCAGGGCCTGGGTGTCCTCACTGCCCGCCCTTAAAAGAATTGAACAAGCATGTTGGTGCAGATACGGGGAAGCTGAAACCCTCAAGAATGTTAAGGGAGAGAAATTTCACAAAGTGGCCCCCATGTTCTCTGTGGCTGTGGCTGTTCTCATCCTTAGGAGGGTCAGAGGGGCGAGGGCCCCAATGTAAGTTTCTGTTCTAATTGCTGCGTGTTCTGTGTTTGCTTGTTCGCATGGGCTGCGTGCTCTCCCTGGGCCTGCGCCGCCCCTCGGCCGCCCCAGCCACAGGCTCTGTGCTGATGGTCCACAACACGCCGGATTTTAAGGATTTAGTAAGAAAACAAAGAGTGCAAAATATCTCATTGATGATATTTTTATGTTCATTACATGTTGGAATAACAATATTTTGACATATTGAGTTGAATTAAATATATTTTTAAATTCACTTTACAGGCTTTCTCTTTTTTTTTTTTTTAACTTAGCTACTAGATCATTTAAAACCATGTTTGTGGCCCGGCCAGTGTGGCTCAGTGGTTGGGAGTAGAATCATGCACCAAGCGGTCGCTGGTTCGATTCCTGGTCAGGGCACATGCCCAGGTTGTGGGCCAAATCCCCGGTGGGGGGCACGCAGGAGGCGGCCAATCATCGATGTTTCTCTCTCCTTCTCCGTTCCTCTCTAAAATCAATAAAGAAAAAAATTGTTTTTAATAAAATAAAATAAATCATGTTTGTGACTTGCATTATATATTACTGGACAGCCCTGCCCTGACCATCCAGACAGGGCCAGGTCCCAGGGCTGACCTGGGTGGTGGAGATTAAAAAGAGGCATGACTGATTTGCAGATGCTGGGGTCATAGCTTCTGACCTGTCAGAAAAACTGTCAAAGCCATTTAAAATCTGTTTGGCTCTTTCTCTTATTCTCTCAGGAGTTGGCACACCTTGCGAAAGCCACACTGTGAAGCGCGGTGCCCCTGCAGTCCAAGGCGGGAGATTTGCTTTGCAGAATTTCTGCAGGTAATTATCATCCAAGGATGACAAATTCATCCTTCGAATATTTGATTTCTAATTCCATGCAGCTGGACAAAAAAAATAAAAGAATCTGTACTCTAAACAAAACTATGTCAACAAGTCAAGGAAACCATGTGTAAGAAAACACCATAACTAAAGTTAAAAGGCAAACGCTAAGCTGGGAAAGTATTGTCACTAATGTGACAGAAAAAGAGAAATCTTGCTAATTTCAAGAGCTCTATCAAATCAAGAAGAAAGAGATGAGCACATCAGAAATTCAGATAAAGGAATTACTCTACAAAGGTTCATTTATAATCCTTTTTGTCATCAAAAATGGTTTTAAGTGTAAATTCAAGCAAAATAAAATATCATTTTTACCTAACAAACTCGCAAAAGTTTTCATAAACCATAACTCCTTGGTGAAGATAGAAAATAAGAATTAGACTTAAGCCCTGGTTGGTTTGGTTCAGCAGTTAGACCATCAGCCCTGAGACTGAAGAGTTGCTGGTTTGATTCGTAGTCAAGGGCACGTACCTCGGTTAGGGTCATGCAGGAGGCAACCAATCAATGTGTCTCTCTCATATCGATGTTTCTCTCTCTCCCTCTCCCTCCCTGCCTCCCACTCTACCAAAAAAAAAAATCAATGGAAAGCCCGGCTGGTGTGGCTCAGTGGTTGAGCATCGACCCATGCACCAAGAGGTCGCCGGTTCGATTCCCAATCAGGGCACATGCCCAGGTTGTGGGCCCAATCCCCAGTGGGGGGCATGCAGGAGGCGGCCAATCGATGTTCTCTCTCATCAATGTTTCTATCTCTCTCTCTCCCTCTCCCTTCCTCTTTCTCTAAAAATCAATAAATAAAGAAAAAAAATTTTTAAATAAAAAAAATCAACGGAAAAATATCCTCGGGTGAGTATTTAAAAAATAAAAAATAATAAAGAATTAGACTTAAAAGATAATACAATGTAAATAATCATAGATGGTCACAAAGATTAGATACAAAAATACCACATTTTTTTTTCGTAGTGGCCAGAAACTGAAAACTCTATGCTTTGGGCCCAAAATGAGGACGAGAGCAGTGAATCGTAGTACAGCCACCTGGAAGGGGGCAGCACAGGCTCTAAACTTGGGTCAAAGAAGTTATAAATGCATGGAAAATGCTCACTATATACTGTTATTTTTTAAAATATTTTAACTGATTTTTAGAGAGGAAGGGGGAGAGAGAGAGAAAAACGTCCATGTGAGAGGTGACCGTTGATTGCCGCCTCGCCCCCCACTGGGGATGGAGCCCCCAGCCCAGGCACGTGCCCTGACCAGGAATCGAGCCAGCAACCCTTCAGTGCACAGGACGACACCCAACCAACTGAGCCACACCAGCCAGAGCTATTTTTAAAGCAGGTGATATAGTAACGTGTATGTTATGAACCAACTATTATAAAAATAATATGTATATAAAATAAAAGATAGGAAAATCTCCACCAAGTCTATCAGTTCTTATCTCTGAGTGATGGGATGACTTCTTTTGGCCAACCTTTTATATTCTACGTCTTCTGAGCATGTACTGTTTTTATAACTAATAAAATTGTTTTCTACCCCAGATACTAAGTAGCTACAAGATTTACTTAAAGATACATAGGCAGCCTGTCTGTAGCTCTCAGATAAATAAACATGACTGTGTTGGAAATAAACCCCATCCATACGCCGATGGTCAAGGGCATCTTCTCTGCAGAGAAGCAGGTGTCTATAGCTTCTGACAGTCTGAGGCACGAGCTAAACCTGTGCCCTCCTCCCCCCCGAGCTCCGGCCACACTGCCAGACACCGGCTGCCACACACACATGGACCTCAGAGCTCAGCAGCAGACGCACTGCGCTGCACGCTCTCATTTGTACATTTGCAGGGTCTCACCACCTCCAAATTTCTTAGGGAAAAAATGAGAAACTGACCCTAATATAGGTTGTGCTTTGTTCATCTCCTTTCACTTCTAACCCATTTCCTTCATTCATTAAAAAAAAAGGAAACACGTTATTAAGTTCACCTACTATGTACCGTGGGCTGGGCGTGGGTGCTGGGGACACCGCCGTCAACAGGTGTGCGTCCTGCACGGAGCAGGGGACAAACACACCGACAGGAAGAGACGGCCGTGGATAACGCTGCACCAGGGCTCAAACCACCACTGCGGAGGCTGAGAGGTGGAAGCCCCCTCCCGTGCCCTTCGTCCTCGCGTGGCACTTAAACACCAGTGAGCCCACCACGCAGTGAAGCTGCCCTGGTATTTTCAGAAACCATCGTAGGAAATGTCATTTAGCTTTTCTGAAGTAGAACAGCGGCTACAGAAAAAGGAGCCTGGCTCATATTCCTGGGTTTCTCTGAATCATCTTTAAAAATGCTTACTAATTGTAACATACCACACAATTTAGAAATTTATTTTAAGACCCGTTACTCTGTTCCATATGCTTCAAGGCAAGTAATAATAGTACTAGTAAAATTTTAAACTGATGACCTCGCATGAACTGGAAATTTACTATACACCAGACGCTATCATTTTCTCACGCTCACTTCTCACGGCAGACCTCGGGGTGAGCTGTCACCCCCACAGTTACATTGGGGAGGCCGTGTCGGGGAGGCTCAGCACTTCTCACAGCAGACCTCGGGGTGAGCTGTCACCCCCACAGTTACACTGGGGAGGCCGTGTTGGGGAGGCTCAGCACTTCTCACAGCAGACCTCGGGGTGAGCTGTCACCCCTACAGTTATCACTGGGGAGGCCATGTCGGGGAGGCTCAGCACTTGTCACAGCAGACCTCGGGGTGAGCTGTCACCCCCACGGTTATCACTGGGGAGGCCGTGTCGGGGAGGCTCAGCACTTCTCACGGCAGACCTCGGGGTGAGCTGTCACCCCCACGGTTATCACTGGGGAGGCCGTGTCGGGGAGGCTCAGCACTTCTCACGGCAGACCTCGGGGTGAGCTGTCACCCCCACGGTTATCACTGGGGAGGCCGTGTCGGGGAGGCTCAGCACTTCTCACGGCAGACCTCGGGGTGAGCTGTCACCCCCACAGTTACACTGGGGAGGCCGTGTCGGGGAGGCTCAGCACTTCTCACGGCAGACCTCGGGGTGAGCTGTCACCCCCACAGTTATCACTGGGGAGGCCGTGTCGGGGAGACCCAGCACTTTTCACGGCAGACCTCGGGGTGAGCTGTCACCCCCGCAGTTACACTGGGGAGGCCGTGTCGGGGAGGCTCAGGACTTGCTCCAGGTCAGCAGGACAAGGTGAGGGGCAGTAATGCATTTGGCTGATCCCGCAGCCATTTAGGTCTCTGCAAGAGCATACACTTTCCTCCTGGCTTCAGTCGTGTACACCCACACCCGCGAAGTCCCTTGCTCTCTGTCCAACAGGGGCAGCTGAGATCCAGGCAGGGCCCGGCGCCCACCAGAGGCAGACAACCACAGCTCCAGCCGTCCTTCCCCCTCTTCGTCTGTGAGTCCTTGGACTTGCCAAACCCTCCCGATCCTCACCCGCCTCGTTTTGAAGATGACGATGAGGGTGATGATAATGGCTTCCCTGTATGGCTCATCGTGGGAATCAAACTTATTCAACAAATGACCACTGAACCCCTACTGTGTGCAGGCCCTGCTGTCACAGAACGCTTGCTGCCTACTGTCCCTCGTGTCTCAGTGTCTGCACCAGGACATGAGCACTGTGCTCATGGTCAGTGGACACACGGTCCTATGCAGGGTGACAAAAATTAAAATAAAAATGGACCTGCCTTATGTCCCAGAGATTCCACTTCTGGGTATTTGTCTGAAGAAATCCAAAACACAAATTTGCAAGGATAAATGCACCCCTAGGTTCATTGCAGCATTATGTACAATAGCTAAGCTAGGGAAGCAACCCAGTGCCCTTCAATAGACGAGTAGATTAAAAGGCTGTGGTATATTCATACAATGGAATATTGCTCAGTCATGAAAAAAGAATGAAACCGTACCATTTTCAAGAGCATGGTTGGACCTAGAGGGTACTATGCTA